GCAGAAACGCTTGCAGATCTAGTAGGCATGCGATATGCATGTATATGTTTTGTGCGTTCTATTGTAAATTTCTGGGAAAACAGAGGAGCTTCTGCATTTCAGTCGTTATGACGGTGATCAAGCATATAACCAGCTGATAACGGGGTGCTGTGTTACGCTCGCAGCGACTTCATTTTCTCCACACGGTTTTGGAAGGCGAAAGTACCAATGGTAAAGAATTGCTTGTGCTTCCTCTCTGCAGCAGTGAGTGAAATTCTTCAATATTTTGTTAGTTCATGAGGCAGGATGAGCGGTGAGGTGTGTTTCCAATTGATTTGCCGTGCGCCGTGCTTTGCAGCTTGTCGGTCGGCGGCTAGTTCACATCATTTTTACGATCACATTCACTGCCACATCACCACCGAAAATTCATTTTGTTGCTGTTTAATGCACCAGCGGATGAGTAATACTTTCTTTTTTTTGCACCCACCTTTGCGTCAAAACGACGTTTTGCACTTCTCGTTCATTTTTTTGCGGTCAGTTTTGTTCCACTTTTACTCTGACCAACTCAGCTCATCGCGTGTTTCGCTACTGCATCAGTACGCTCACAACTTTTCCAGTTGCTTTGACCGATGCTGCGCTGTATAGTGGTCAGCCCGCTTAGCAATCCTGATATTAATTTTGTTTTCAAAAAAGACTGAAAACTCAATGATTTTTTCATTTAACAAGGCTTTATACACTAAATGAAGTTACAGTAAGGTCGACGAATTTGATCTCTCCATCTGAAGCTGGTGCTTTTTCGACGTAATTTCCGCACCATTATTCTCTATGCTTACTTTTTTTGTACCGTAATTTCCTCAACGTTTAATTTTCCATAATATTTTACACTATGGCACTGTGTTTACATGGGTCAGACGAGCCAGAAATTTCCAGGGTAGACATTACACACATACACACTTGGATTAACTGTAATTCACAGACTGTTTCTCCAGGCTCGAAGATATCCCGTGAAAAATCTCTAGAATTCGTTCCAATAACAGTCTGTTTCTGTAGACGTGGTGAGCATTTGCCAGCAGTTTAAAACGGCTATTAGTTCGCTCCGTATGGGACAGAAAAATTACAGTAACAAAAGAGTTTAAAATCACTGATGCTGAGTGCTGTATTCCGTGGATACAAGTATGTGTAAATATGGTAACTTAATCAACATGCGAATTGATGCTTTCTCTTCCTTCGGAAGAGCACTTGCGTGGCTCTGTTAGCTGTAGAAGAATCTTAGAATTTAGGAAAAATCTGAAATTCTGGTGCTAGCTGTTCCACGCTTTTATACGCTTTTGCTATGCAGCGCTATGGCGGTGCTACAGTAAGCAAAAACTCATGCTGTCGAGAGGTTATCCGTGTGTGTATTTTTGGAAGCGAGTGAACTTAATCACCCAATTTCAGCTTAGCAACCAAGAAAGCTGAAAGGTTGAAATTTTGGGCGCATATTCCCACCCTATGTGTAACCTTCTCGTTTTAAGATCTTCCCGCATATGCGTCCATATCTCACGTATCTTCTTACACGCCTCTTAAAAAATATGCAAATTTCCCTGACAGGAAACGATTTTGGGAACCAGATCAGACAGAAAGCTGAAAATTTGCAGGGACTATGTGCTTGTGTGAGCCAAAGATTTCAAATTCAACCATTGCGTACGCTTTTGCAGCGCGTACGGTCACGTCAAAGTTTGCTCCTGGAACTGTTCTAACTCAGAAATGAGCAGGAAAACACTGGCTAAAATTTTTTTCAGAATATTTATCGTCCATATGGGAAATCGTATGCGTAAAGTGAGTTCCAATTTACACTTGCGCCGTGACTTAGGAGCACTTTGAGGATATTTGTAGTGAAATGGCTATTTAGTTTATCGGATAATGTGTGAGTCTGTAACTTCGCTGGGATATTTTGCTTTCTTGTATGGTTTTAATTCTGCTTAGAGATGGAATTACTTGTAGGTGGGTATGAGAAATACTCAACTTTACCGTAAGCTCAGAAAGAAATGCATTTTGCAGCGACGACCCCCTTCATATCTCCCAACATCCAGTTCATTTACGTGTTTGGATTTTTCAGTGAACGACCGCTCCAGCTACATTTGTGCTTTTTTTATGCACTGAAAGAATTGGAACTGGATGTTGGGAGAGGATGAGGGTCATTCGCTACAAATGCACTCTTTCTGAGTTAAACCTGCGTAAAAGCTGAGCGAAAACGCAGCTCGCAATGGCTAACCTGGTGCGTTCCAATCTGGGTTTATCAATAACTTAAAAATGTGCCTGCTTGTTGTCATTGCCTCAAAACGTGCCTTCATCTTATTAAAATATTTTGAAAAACCCATCAAAAAATCGTGCAAATTTTACGGGGTCGGTGAAAAGAAAGCATTCAACAACACATTTTGAGGAGGAATAAGAAAAAATTTGCACGAGTTCTGTCTGCATAACATTCCTCTGACATGATTATCCTTCTCCTCCCCTCCCCCCCGCTTTTGATTGTTGCTCAAGTGAGAGCGCTTTTATTAGCTGCATTTATTTGCTTGCAGCACTAGCAGTGACGGAGGGCTACTGAAATAAATTGCCTGCATTAAGTTTACCACTGAAACACTTGCCACAGTTTACTTGTTGAATTTTTTTAGCCACCAAGTGAATTTCTGGGAGGGAGATTAGCACAAGTTTACATAATTTCCGGAGCAGTTAAGGAGCAGCACTACCTTTTTTTGCATAATCGCACTGGGTAGGAACAAAAAAAAAATTTAAATTTAACCCATTTCACC